AATATTTTTGACTTTGTACTCTTTCTTAGTAAACTGCTTTCTGATAAAACATTTCACTGTTTTCGGAGTTTCAGGATTTTGCCAAAATACAGTTATAAAAGCATCTGTACTGGCTGTCTTCATAAGACAAAATTCCATATGAAGATAGGCCTCCAAAAGGAAAATTTGGCTTCTAAGAGTTAGAGTGCCAGTTAAATTGGAATGTTAACAGAACTGGTTTTTGTAAAAAATGAATGTATTTCTCACTCTATGATCTTTATATATGTTTAAGTACATTTATAGTAACTGTCTGGAGGTTAAGACTAATTAAGTTCTTTTTAGGATAGACTGTTAGGCAATAAAAATAAGACTATATTTTAAACAAGAAAATGTTCATGTGCCATAATATTTATAGTAAATTATATAACAGTTTTAGATGATGTCGTATGTTACACTGTATAAACTCTTTTCTTAAGCCAGACTCTTTGTATATATTATCTTTCAGTGGTTGTACACAGTGGTATAGTGTTTCACTTGATATGATTTTAATCACTGTTAGGTTGAACTTGAAAGAAAGTTGGAATCTGCAACTAAGTCTAAACTACATTACAAGCAGCAGTGGGGACGAGCTTTGAAAGAACTTGCCAGACTTAAACAGGTATGTAGTTTATAGCTTATTCTTTTTATATCTTTTTCCCTTGTTTCTTTGCAAGTTCGCATGTTTGGCAATATCTGTTACGTTCAGATGTCTGCATTTGAATATTACTATTTTTTGAGATGAGAGGCTTTTACAAAAATATGTTATAAAGGCAAGATGCTGCTTTTTTATAGTTAGAAACTGAAACAATTAGGTCTTTAAAAGTGCCACCTATCCCCTTCCCCAGAAGAAACTGGGAATAATTTATTTTACTTTCAGTTAGAAAACAACCATTCTTTTCTTTCTTATGATTAAACTTTCCACTGGAAGTGCCTTTTATGAGAACATTTAAGGATAACTTGAACATTTTCTCAAAATTAAGAATATATTTTAAATGTTATTCTTAAGAAGACAGAGTAATTCAGTTAAGAAAAGGAATTATAGGGAATTTTTGCATGATTTTAAAAGTTTAAAAACACTGATAGAAGTTTTCTGAATTCTTACATTTTTTTCTTTCCTGCTACCAATCAACAAACACTGTTAGCGTCAGAAGGAATTAATCTTAATTTTGATCATATTTGATCTTAATCATTTGAAGAAATTATGAGTAAGATTTTTATTTTGAATCTGACCCTTTGAAGAACCCTTTTCTTTAAAGAAAAGCAAACTTAGAATAAACTAACCATTATTATATCTTTAAAATATTTAGGTCAGTTTTCTTTTGAATGAAATTTCAAACGTAGGGTCTTTCAGGTTTGTATTTTTCTTAATGTGTCTCCATAACCATCAAATACTATTAAACATTGTTATGGTATTATATTAAATGCTTACCACCTTCATAGAGTTCTGCTAGTCTGCATGAGAATTAAAAACTAGTAGATAGTTTGCCCTAACATACATGATAGAGGAGTTGGGATTGTAAGCATTACAAACGAACACAGGTAGATATATATAAATATAAAATAATGTACCATGTGACTATATTATATAAATGCTGACAAGACTAAGGGTAGACATTATGTGTAGTACTAAGAATCTCCTGTATTGAAAGCACTGTCTTACATGTACAATAAGTATAAAATAATACTACAGCAAATATAAAGGCCTATATGCAAGACGTAGGCCTTTCCATCACAGAGCTTGCAATTTAGTAATAAGGAAGAAACAACTATAAATATAAAATTTACTACCTAATAGTAAGAGCCTTGACAAAGACCATATAGAGTACTCAGGAGGAGAAAGTACATCTATTTAATAGGATTTGGAAAGGTGTCATAGAAGAGGAGCTACTTCAGATAGACCTCTGGAGATAGACACTTAAGATTTTAGTAGAGGAATTGGTTGTCATTTAGGAAAGTAGTGGGGGAAATGTAAATACAATGAATAGAATTATCACAGCAAAGAGGCATGAAGTGGGAGAGGATAGGCTGTTCTTATAAAACAGAGGAGGGCCCATTTTCTAACTCATTTCTGGCAATAAGGGCTGGAACTTAAGTAGTAACAGTAGGAATGCAACAAGAAGAGTCTTGTCAAAGATGGTGCCAAGGGCTCCAGCTTCAGTGTGTGGTCCGGTTTTGGAAGTATAGTTACTGAGAATCTCTTTGGAGGGTGGGAAGGAGATAGGATTTGCAAATTGGATGTTTTAATTTTTACAGAATGAAATTCGGCTACCAGTTAGAAATATGGATATGTTGTTGGGAAAATGATTGGCCTTAAAAATACATATAAAGGAGTCCTTTGCAGAGGTAGTGTTTAAAGTTGTGCCAGCTAGAACTTGGAATTCTTATGTTTAAGATAGAGAAAAGAACGCTAATGAAGGCAATAACAAGCAGAGAAAGTGAAGATCATTATAATGATGCAGGTAGAGCAGTTAGTATGTATCGAAGGCTTACTTTGTGCCAGGGTAGCACTAAGCCCTTCGGAATTTATCATTTAATCCTGACAAAGATCGCTATATAGCAGGTAATATTATTCCCATTTTATTTGGTTGGTGCAAAAGTAAAATGGTAAAGGTGCAAAAGTGAAAGCAGCAAAAACCACAGTTACTTTTGCACCAACCTAATAGATGAAGAAACTGAGACTAAAAGAAGTTAAGTTGCATGTGATCACAGGTACTAAGTGGTAGACCTAGCATTGAAAGCTTTTGATGAATACAGCTTCAGGCTCTTTTCCTTTCATGAGACTATGGTCTCAGTCCATTGAAGTCAAGGAATGAAAGAATTTCAAGGAGAAGAAAATTAGCCACTCTGACAAGATTATTGAGGCAGGGGTCATCGTGAGTTGGTATATCCTAAGAAGGAAAATGGCATCATTGACCACAAGAGACCAGGTCTGGTAATGAGAATTAAAGTGATTTTGAGAGAGAAGCAGCTAATACATAGTCATGATGCCAAGATAGTTAAGTTGCATATAGTATAATAGAAGTCCCTGTGGAATTGGGGCCAAGGAAATAATATGAGAATAGCTGTTAAAAGTAACAAGACATAAACTCCATCAGAAGCAGCATAAATAGTAGTTAAGAACATGGCTTTGGAGTTAGGAGAATTTTGGTTGAATTTTGGTTCTACCTCTGACTTTGGGAATTTACTGTCTCTGATTAGTCTCTTCATTTGAACAACGAGAAATTTTCTCACACAGGTTATTCTGAGAATTAAAAGAGTGGTTTTAAAGTGTTTATTTAATACAGTGTTTGATACGTAGTATGTGCTCAGTAAATGGTAAGTAACTTGTTAAAAAGAGATTAGCCATAAAGCTGTTCTGTGGTGGTATTGCATTCAGTCAGTGGGGACCTAATTGGACAGAACCTTTACTAGAGGTCTTTGTGACCAGAAATTCTTGAGTGTGCCTAATTGGGGACGTTTTCATGCAGTGACAGTTATAATAGACATTCTATAGAAAATGTACAGAAGAAAAAAATATGTAAGGGCTAAATGTACAGATGTGCAAGAGCGTCAGTAGGTAAACTTTCCAAGTTTGAGTATAAAGGAATGTGAGTACATTGAGATAAAGAAACATCTGTAGTTAGTTCATTTGCTCATTCTTTCCTTCATTCAGCAAGTGCTTACTGAGAGCCTGCTATGCACTTTGTACAATGGGATGCTACGTATATAGCAGTTGCTCCCATGTGGAACTTAAAGTTCACCTAGGAGGACTGATAGAGTATAGCAGGGTGGTAAGAAATGTAAATGAAGTCAGCAAGTATTAGAAAAACCAGGGGACCACTGGGGGCTATCACCACATTTGTCACTCAAAGCTAAGGAAGAAATACTTCTTTTTTTTTTTTTTTTTGAGACCGAGTCTTGCTCTATCACCAGGCTGGAGTGCAGTGGCACAATCTCAGCTCACTGCAACTTCTGTCTCCTGGATTCAAGCAATTTTTCTGCCTCAGCCTCCCAAGTAGCTGGGACCACAGGCACATGCTATCATGCCCAGCTATTTTTTGTATTTTTAGTAGAGACGGGGTTTCACCATGTTAGCCAGGATGGTCTCAATCTCTTGACCTCGTGATCTGCCCGCCTTGGCCTCCCAAAGTGCTGGGATTACAGGCGTGAGCTACCGTGCCCGGCCAGGAAGAAATATTTCAAAGAGAAAATGCTTCAAATAACTCTTGTAGGTGGGAAATCATTTCAAGGTTTTTTTTTTTTGTTTTGTTTTTGTTTTGGCCAAGATAAATCACTTTTATCTCTATAGGAAAGGGAGAATCTAAAAAAATATAAATTACATTAGTAACACAATGTAAGAAAAAAGACGGGGCAAAACAACAAATAAATCTGAATGATGTTACTCTAACCTATTTATAAAATGGCCCTGCATTAGAAATTCACAATCCTATCTACTTTTAAAAATATGTTTAGACATGTACAGAAGCAGTGGGCTTGTTTTTAAATTGTTTGCTTTTTTTGTAAAAATATATTAAAGGTGAATAGAAATCCTCTCTCCCTTCCCTCTATCCAGCCCCCAGCTGGGGTTTGGATATCAGGGGTGACTATATCGAGGTATTCTAAACTTGGATTACTAACACTCCCAGCCCCTCCCTAACTCACTTCACTTAGAACCTGAAACATTAAAAAAAAAAAAAAAAGACATCAGCCTCTTTGGAAAAGCATAACTCTGGGTAAACTTGCTTTTCATTGGAAACACAAAGTAACAAACAGGAGGCTCCAAGAACCCAACTAAGCTAAATGAAACCCAGAGGCTGGGTTTCAGCTCCACAGAAAACTTATAACAAAGAAACAGAGGGAAAAGGTCGGAATCAGGGGGATTTGCTAGCAATTAGCTGCCTTTGAAAGATTAAGAGGGGTTGTTAATGGATAAAAGGGCTGGGGACCTGATCTTGGTTACAGTAGTTACCGTACAGAGGGACAGAGGTTTCTGCCGTCCCCTCACTACCCTCTTCTGCCTTGAAATCCCCAAAATAAGCAAAGCTTCGTGGAAACAGAGGGGAGGGGAGTAGGAACTTACGTGCTAGGGGGCAGGTAGCCAGGCTTTTTGCCTTTGGTGTGACTAGATGGAGGACTGCTTGGCCCCTGGGGTCCCCAAGGTAGAGAAAGCAAATGGGCTAAAGGAACCCATGATTCCGAGGAAGGAAAGTAGAGGCAAGGCTATGGAGAAAAGAAAAGACAAACTGGAAATACAAAGATGATGAAGGAAGCCTCACAAATTCCCTGTGGCCTGCATGGTAGCTGTTAAATTCCCCAGAGGCACTGGGCAAGCTGGGGTGAGGTTGGAGTGGGTGGTACAGGTGGAGAGGGCAAGGGTACACTCCACTTGGGCAGTGCCAAATGGAGGTAGGGGGATGGTTCTCCATCGTGTCCAGATTGCCCGTGAGGCAAGGCAAGTGGGAGGTGGGGGCACTGTCTGGACAATGGAGACAATCCACAAAGTAAAGACACGGGAGGGGAGGATCAGATGGATGGTCTGTTTCTTCACAGATGGGTGTCTCTTCTCTTCCACTTGGGCTTGTGAATGGCCCATCTGCACTCTGCTTGAAAGATGATCTGTCATCTGGAAGTGCAAAGGCCCAGGAGTGAAGATGTGAGTCCTGAGGTCTTCTTCAGACCAAGACCTCAGGAGGAGAAAGAAGCATGAAAGTTCCCAATGGAGGACCCAGGTGTCCTCCGTAATGTCCAGGCTGTGCTCTGTGGTATAGGTGGAGCAAGCAGGCTGTTGGGCCAGCGTTATCTGCTTCAGTAGCAGGTGCTTTCAAGTTTCTGGGAGATGGTTTTCCACCTGCCAGGGCCAGCCACAGCCACAGCCACAGCCACGTGGATAATGTTCTACATGATTTTAAAATCCAGGCAAATCCCTGGAGCTCACCCTAAAACAAGTGGCCTCATGTAGGCAGCTAAAAGTAGCTTCCTTCAATAGGCTACAAAGCTATGGTCAAAGGCTTGGTCATCTGACCTCTCCCTACCTTGACAAGAGGGAGGAACCACCTTTCTTCCCAAGGATAAGTGAAGTCAGCATTTCTAGGCCACTTCTGGAAATGGCTCACAATGGGGCAGGAAGAAGGCTCTGGGCCTTCCTCTTTATTTCCATGAAGTATTTGGCAAGAGGAGGTAGAGACCACAGCCTTCTTCCAGTAGCAAATGTGGAGGTGGGGGCGTATCCACTGGACTGGGGAAACAGGGCAAGCAGAATGGGTGGAGGTAGGCAGGCTTCTGGATATAGGGCTAGAGTTGCAGAAAGTGTCAAGCACTGGGCCTCCCACTTCATGGCTCAGGCTTCTTCACGCCTCTCCTCATCCTGCCTTCCAGCTCTAGGGGGCATCAATAGTAAAGGACAGACAAGGCAGGTAAAAGGGGAGTGGTTTGGACAAGTAGGAAACGGGATTCTAGTCAGCTGGAAACCTCTCCCATTTACCTGCTACTCAGAAGTATGGAGAAGGCAGGTGGGATGCTCTAGTGAAAGTGGGGAAGGGAGCTAGGAGGAGTCGGTGGAGGGGTCCATGCCTTTCCTAAGTCCAAAAAAAGCAGGACAATACACCTCAGCACCTTGTCCGGGGCAGACAGGATCCAGGAGTGCCCCGAGAGTTGACAATGGAGAAGGGGTGAGGGGTAGGACACAGGAGGGCTCACAGAAGTAGTTTGCCATTTCTGTGGATTTTCAGGATACGTCCAAGTCTCTGCTTTGCTGTGGCCAGGCCCTTTTTGGGACGTTTTCCTTGTCCTGCCTGATTGCTCTGGGAGCCAACTGAAGGGCACCACTGGGTCAAGAAGACACCAGGGGCCATAGGTGTGGTGCTGCGGTTTGCCTGTGCCATGCCAAAGGCATTGGGACGAGCGGTGTACTCATGGTCAGCAAGACTTCTTGAAAGGGCCTCTTGTTTAGGCTCAGGAGGAGGCAGGGGTGAGGAGGAGGTGACAAGCTGTGGTGTGGCAGCCACAGTGAGGGCTGGTACTGTCAGATTAAGATTGGAGTCTTGAGGGCAAGGCTGTTCCACCTCCTTCAGCAAAGGCTTCTTCTTGATACATTTCTTCTTTTGGGCCTTCTGTAGCTCCTGCTGGGCCAGCTTTGCAGCTGCTGCAGCCAAACCTGTCTCAATAGAGGCTACCCGGGTCCCTTCATGCACAGGACGGTCCTGCTTCGGCAGAGTTGGGGACACACGGGCCTTAGGACTCCATGGAGCATCATCCGAATTCTTCTTTTTCTTGGGTCGAGATTTCAAAGCAGGGTCCTCATCATCAGACTCCAGCGAAGGATAGATATACTCTGTGTCTTTGAAGCATGCTCCCAAACTGTCCTGTTCATCCAGACTGGCTTTCTCCTCCTCCTCCTTGCTCTCGGTTCTCCAGTATGCTGGTCACTTGATGGGCCACTTCCCTGGGGCGTGCTGGGAAGCAGGACTGTTAGACACTGTACCCAGCCCATGCTGGAGCTCCCACTGCTTCGATCTTGCCCCGGGTCCACCAGGCCTGCAGGCTGGAGGTAGCCGGTGAGGACAATGAGGACTTCAGGTTGGCCATGTACAGCATGCCCTGGATGGCCTCCTGAGTGCTGGGAGAAGCTGGGGCCTCGCTGGCACCTTGGGCGGGAACAGGGGTTGCTGTCTGATAGCCTTCAACCCCTTCCACCATGTCCTCATCTGTTGTATAGTCCTCCTCAATGTCAAATTCAACTTCTCCTGGTTCACGAACTTGGTTGGGGTCAGAGGAAGGCTTCGCACGGGGCAATTTCCAGGGAAATTTTGGTCTTATTATGAGAGTTGCCGTCTCCTTTCCCAATCTCTCGTCAATCTGCAGCTCATCATCTGAATCCAAGTCAAATTCGTCTTCCATCACCTGTTCTGCCACCAGTCTAGCCTTGTCTACCTTCTTTTCTATCTTGGTTCGCCAAGATTTCGGTAAGTTCTTCACCCTTTTCGTACTGCCATTAGACATCAATAGGGACAGTGGGCTCTCATTTCCATCAAGGTCCAAGTCCGGGGAGTCATCATCTGTGTCATTCAAGCAGGCACCAGTGATGTTGAACTTTGCTTTCTGGAAAGAGCCTGTCTTCAGTGCCTGATGACTGTATGTGTCCATGAGATTATAGCTCAACTGGCCAGCAGGCCCCAAGGCTGAACTCTCCTTGCCCTTTTGCTCTGCCTTCTTGAAGAGTTCCTTGGGCTTCAGGCCCTTCTTCTTTGAACCATTTTTGGAGGGCAGTGACAGCCTGGACATGGACATTGAAGTGGGATGGGCTGGCCTGGTTAGGGGAATGGAGCCAGCTGGGAAGATCCTCTGCAGCCCAAAGATATTGCTCGTCTTCCCGATGTTCTGTTGGAAGATGTCTTCCACCAGATGGATCTCCCTGGCCAGATCTTTAATGAGCTGTATAGTTTGCACTGTCTCCGGGATCTCATCCTCATGGTCTGGCAGAGCTTCTTTCCTTGTCCAGGCTCTAAAGGCAAGTACAAAGCTTTCCCACCATGGACCAGGTAGGAGGCAGGGTGTCTCCTGTTCTCTCGCAAACCACAAAAGATGTCCAGGATGTGTTTTCCCACATACCAACAGATGGTCTCAAAGTTGGGGAATCTGAAGAGATCTGCTGTGCTCAGCCACTTCTCAATCTCATAGGCTTTGAGTTGCATCTCGATATTAAGGCTGTGTAAGAAGTTCCCTCCAGAGGCAAGGCAGTCCACAGGTGTCAGCACAGCATGGATCCATCCTGTGGGAATGAAAAGTGTCTGTCCTTGCTTCACGGAACACTTGTAGCACTTGTCCACCTGGTCCCCAAAGAACATCTCATTCTGATTAGAAGAACTGCTCCAGCACTCAAAAAGAGTCAGATTGGCATTTGTTGGGTGGATCAGGTAGAAGATCTTTTCACACTTGACTACATGGTACCAGACAGAGGTGCCACTGAAGTCAGTGTGAAAGTCTGTATAGCTGTCTCGCACACTCATGAGGCAGGACTTCTGTACATTGGGTCTCTCAAAGACACATTCCTCTGGCCACAAGTTCTCGACCCATGACAGCTTTCGAACAATCTTCGGTGTCTCCGCAAGGTTAGAAAGCCCGGTATCAGATAATTCCAAACTAATGACATTGAGGACTTTCTCCCTCTTCCCGCTGTAATAATATTTCACAAAATCACCAAGCTTCATCTTGCAGTCAGCCTGGCGGGTCACATCAATCATATCAATCTCTTTGTCAGAACCAACATAGTGTTCAACATCCCTCACAGTGAATGATGGTGAGGGCAGCGTCATGCCCAACCCATCATCCTTCAGGACCAAGATGGGCACACTGAAGCTATTTTCTTCCAGGAATTCCACAGTCAGTTGATTTCCAGTGGGCTTCAGAATCACTTCATCTGAGCTGTCAAAAGTCCTGCTCCGGAGCTCTCTGATGAGTGTAGGGCTCCCAGTCTTCACTGGTTTCCCCTTGTGTGTATCATGCCCCTTTGAATATCCATGGCGTTTTTTCATAATAGAGGGCCCATGCAAGACTTCACAGTTGGGGCAGTGGTAGAGGTCAATGTCAGCAGTCTTCTCTTCAACACCAACACAACTGCCATGAAACCAGTCCTGGCACATGTCACACTCAATCATGAAGTGGGTCACATTATAAGGCAGCCAGCAGAGGCAATACACCGGCACTGAGGCCATCTTGGCTCGGTCCTGGAGTGCTCTGTGGTGGGCCAGGTTCATCGTGTCAAGAGGGGTGGGAGGTGGCAGCAGGCATCTTCTCTGGATGACGGCGCGGCTCCCGTTCATTGAGCACCTTCAGCGGGCTGGGCTTTTCCCCACAGCCTCTGTGTTGTTCTCCTCCCTGTTAAGGAAGCGCTGTGATTATCACCAAATGAGGGCTGGGGCTTTGAGAAGCCAAATGACTTGAGTCCCAGAGCAGAGACGTTAATCATTGCGCCCTGTGCTACCCACGTTCTATCCTCAGGCCTCAGTGTAGTTCTCCCATTTCAAGTTTTTAAATGGAGAGTAGATGGGAAAGAAGTGGAAGATCGTGCTTCCCATTGAAGAAGCTGAGCAGTGAACAGTAGCAATGGTAATTCATCAATTATGAATTACCCAAATCAGCTGAAAAAGTGGAAAAATGTTGTTACCTATTGGTTTGGGCATTTTCTATAGAGAACTGAATAATCATTTACTATTGAAACTGAATCTCATTATAATTGACATGTTTTTTATTGAGAAGTATCTGTGCAAGAACTTTTTACCTTGTCATGTTCAGTATGTCTATTATAGATTACATTCTTTAAGTTTTTCACCATCTGAGTTAGTTTCAAAAAATATAAGTAAACAATGTTCTGAATAGAATCCCCCAAATTCCTGGGTTTTGATTCGTTTTACACTGGGGTATTGAAGTAGTCTGCTTTAAAAGAAGATTCAGTGTGAAAGGCTCTAATGTAAGAATCCCTCTTTTCTAACACACACATCCTCATACACTTTAGTTATCTTCTGGATCTTTCCATTTAATCCATTTTTTATTTTACCTTCTTCTTGTGTATTTCCTGCCCTCTTGCCCAAAAAACATTGCAAAGTAATTTTAGCTATTTGATTCTAATAAGGAGGATATCACAAACATTCAGATACCTTCTTTGGCTTGAGTTACTCTAAGTGTAAAGAAAAGGAAAAAAAAAGTGTTAAATTAGTGGTTCAACTCTGAAACTTACAATCCATGAAAGAAAACTTCTTTGAGTGCAGAGATGTTCATTACTTTTTCATTCCAAACCAATTTTAATCCTTATCCAACAAACTTTCTGCTTTAGGGACAACACTGTAACCAAATTTTGAGGTCACTAGGAATCATTGATGTTCTGCAGACTGCCCTGAGATGCAACACTTTAAGAAGAAAAGTAATAGACCTTGGTATTACCATAGTGAATTGGGCTCTGCCACTAACTGTTTTAGTAAGATTAAAATTAATAATTTCATCAAATTGGCACATTTCATGTATATGAAAATTCAAAATTTTTTCCTTCAACTTTTTATTAAAAACACATTTATTGTGCTTGAATATAATTTTGGAATCGTTTATCTAGTTTTGTTCAAAAGATTGTTTGTGTAACTTCTTGTTTAAATTGGATTAGAACCATGTTAATTTTACATTGCCTCTGGTGAATAGCCACGGGGCTGTAATCTCTGCCAGTGATTTGTCACATCAAAACCCTCTGGAGGGCCATACAAAACATTTGTGTAGTACGGATTAGACGGTGAAAGCCATATCTTAGTTTGTTAATAAATGTTAATGACAAAACCCAGCTGGTAAAGCTTGGAAATAAGACCTAATGCTTGATGCCCATTGCCAGAAGAATGTTTAAACAGAGATTTCCATTACTCAGAGGTGACCTAGGATAGTCAATTTGTGAATTTAAAAATGTAACCTTCTAATTATTTAGAAAAAAACTTTTTCTTTTGATTCACAACCACAAATGTCTTTTCCCAATGGTAAGCTTTTTTGTTCTTCGGTAACTGGGAAGGCAACAGCTGTAAAATATAAATAAGCATAACATAAAATGAGTCCTGATTTATAAGACAAGGAAGTGATACTCTTAAGTTTGCTATCATGGGACAAAGTTAAAAGTTCTACTTGTTAGACTTGTAAGAGGTAATTTAGTTTCCTTTTTTTTTTTCCTTCAAGATATACTATAGAAATATTTTAAAACCAAAACAAATACTTGAATGACATTGGTCTACAAACACTCAAGTGAAGTTGTCTGCTTTCCTACTTGTGCTCTAAATGATAACATGTTTGCATATTTACTTAAAAACATTTCTTGACACGTTAGAATATCATTATGTAAGCAGAATAAAACCTACAACTTTATAAACAATAAATGAAGCATTGTTATAAAGTATGCGTTTATTGTAGAAAATGTAACAATTTTATGTCAGATATTTTCAAAGTAGGTATGTTTGTTTCCAGGACTGGAAAGAGAACTAATGTTTTGGGAAGGATTGTGGGTCCCTTACCGTATTTGTGCACAGTAGATCTGTTTAAAACTGAGCTGATATATTTAGTTAAAACAACACAGACTTCATTGGCCGACATTAGCACTATCTTGTCCAGCCTCTTGCTTATCCGCTCTGAGTAATTAATTTGATTAATTTATATGTAATTTAGCCAAGGATGGGATGTAAATCTTTTTTTAAGAAAACAGTTGGAGGTCCAAGTCTTGGTTAAAAACTGTGTCTTGAAACCATCCAGGCCCTCCTACTGACTTGTCAGCTCTGGGTTATTTTCAGAAAACTTTACTTGAGTTCCTTAGTTTAGTTGTAAGTTTTTTCCCACAGACTTACATGGTATGTGTGAGTGGGAGAGTAACTAGTGGCCACATTTTAGCCGCTGTTTAGTCTAGTGTATGTATGTTTACATCTCCTTTCTGGATTTATAGGCAGCCAAGGCAAAATAAAGATTATACTCACTTGATTGAGGAGCCTTTAACCCAGAGCACCTGGCACTGGAGAGGACTTCTTTCACTAACCTCTAATTTGTGTGTGTGTGATTATTATTAATGCCCTATACTTGATTAAAAATTCAAAGCATTTGAACAATTTTCTTATTTTAGAAAATGTTAAATTTTATCAAAAACTTAGTTTTATAGAGTAACATAAAGCTAATAATCAACTTTTATTACTTCTGCTTGCAATCATACTTACTCATTGTAAAAAAAATTTTTAAAGCCAATTTTGTAACACCATATAACATAGACACTACAAATCACATCTTAGCCTTTCCTCAGCCAAAGAAGACAGTTTGGTTTATTTTTGTCCAGATATGTTTTTTTTTCTTTTTAAATAACTTTAAAATGAACTATACATGTCAAAGAAGGTTCTTCTACTCTTTCCACCTGCCTCCTAGTTTAAGAAACAGCATTATGAATGCTTTGGAAGCTCTCTGTGTCCGTTTCTCAACTGTGTCTTCTCTTTCCAGAGGTAACCACTATCTTGAATTGGGTATTTATTATTCCTTTGCTTTTTGTCATAATTTTGTGACATAAGATATATTAAAAGTCTATTTGCAAACAGCATTGCTTAGTTTTGTATGTTATGAATCTTTATATACATAGAATCATTCTCTGAAAATATTGCGCAATTTTTCCAGTCTTCTTTCAGTGGACATGTTTTATCCAGGATACGAGAAAGCTGAATATATCTGTAGCTGTAAGAGTTTCTCTAGTGTTTATATCTAAAAGTAGGATTTCTGGTACTAAGGGACATTCATTTCTTCAGCTTCACTAAATATTACATACTTATCTTCTAAAGTGGTTATATTAATTTGCAATTCCCAATAGTAGCATATAATTGTCCCTGTTCTTCACATTTTTGCCAACAATTGGCTATTGTCTGATGTCTTAAATTTTTCAGTTTGATTGGACCCAAATAGTGTCTGTCACATTGTGGCTTAAATTTTCATTCCTCTAGTGACTAATAACTTTGAGCATCTTTTCATATGTTCGTTTTTGAGACAAAGTCTCACTCCGTCACCCAGTTTGGAGTGCAGTGGAGCATTCACAGTTCACTGCAGCCTCAACCTCCTAGGCTTAGGTTATTTACCTCAGCCTCCCACGTATCTGGGACTACAGGTACATATCACCCTGAATAGCTAATTTTTATAATTTTTTCTTTTTGTAGAGACAGCGTCTTTCCATGCCACTTACATTTCTTCATCTGTGGAGTGCCTATTTATGTCTTGTGCTCAGTAGAATTTAATCGACAAGTGTAATTCAGATTTTAGAATATCAGACAAGAAATTTGAAATACTACCATCATTATACTCGAGAAAATAGGTGATACGATGAAGAAATATATTAGAGAAGTGATACATTTTGAGACTATCTTACGTGTAATTGGAGAAAGAGTGGGAAGAAGGGAATATTTAAAGAGATGCTGGCTAAGAATTTTCCAAAAGTAAAAAATATATCAGTTCTTAGATTTGAAAATATCTATGAACTGTAAGCAGGATAAATACAAAGTGAACTGCAAGCAGGATAAATACAAAGTAAACCTACCTAGATGCATTAGAGCAAAATTGACAAAAAGCAAAGAAAAACCTTAAAAACTCTTGGGGGCGGGGGTGGAGAGATACATTGCCTTCAAAGGAGCAATGATAAGACTGACAGATTACTTTTTAACAAAAGTAAAGGAATTTGTAAGACAGTAAAATAGCATCCCTAAAGTACTAAAGAAAACAATTGCTGAACTAAAATTTTGTTACCCAGTAAAAGTGTTCTTCATAAATGAAAGACTTCAGACTGAAAAAAATTGGCAGAATTTGTCATGGCAAATCTGAAGCAAAAGAAATACTTGAATTCTCCAGGCAGGAAAAGAATAATCCAAAATAAATGCAGAAGTTGAAATGCAGAAGAGTGAAAAACAATGGAAATTAAATATCATTTACAGGCAAACTCTCTCTGTAGTGGCGGGTTGCCTCGGCAATGGCGGGCTGCATCAGCAATGGCAGACTACCTCCGTAGGGGTGGAGTGCCTCAGTAATGGCGGACACCCCTCCCCCGCAGAGCCGGACCGTCCCGGGTTCAGCTGTGCTTGCTGTGACACTCTCAACCCAGGGCATTTCCAATTGCTGTTTTTTTCTGGGGTTGGGGGTGGGACCCACCGAGCCTGATCACCTGGCTCCCTGCCTCAGAAACTTTTTTTTTAAGTTGAACGGTTGACTCTCTCCCAGATGTTCCAGTCGCCTGTTACAAAGGTGCCAGGATCTGTGTGATTTCCCATGCTGTGACCCACTGCGCTGGCTGAAACAACATGCTGCGTGGGAATCTCCTGGCCTGGCTCCCTGT